CTCGTGCTCCGTTTTCAGTTTCCAGGCTCCTCTGGGATCAGCCCCAGATGCTGATGAGCACGGCCTCTGCTCCATGCTCCAGATAAGTCTCTTCCTGCTGGCGGGGGCAGGACCCTCTCCCACACTTCCGGCCATGGGGGCCCCGTCCCAGCCCTGACCACTGCAGGTGTCACTGTCTGTGGACAGCTCTGTCTCCCCACTGGAATGTGAGCCCCTGGAGGGAAGGCCGGGGCTGTCAGCACTGTGTCCCCAGCGCTGCCCCGCACAGGGCTGGACACTGGATAGGTGCTTCGGCAGACAGAATAATCTCTCCATCCCCCACCCCAGCGATGTCCACATCCCGTCCCCGCAACCTATGACATGGGATCCCACACGGCAAAAGGGACTTTGCAGATGAGATGCAGGATCTTGAGAAGGGGAGATGATCCTGGACTGTCTGGATGGGCCCAGGGTCATCTCAACGGTCCTCATAAGGGAAGAGGAAGGCAGCGAGTATGGGTCAGAGAGAGAGAGATATCAAGATGCTACGCGGCTGGCTTTGAAGTTGGAGGGCCATGAGCTTGAGGAACGCAGGTGGCCCCGGAAGCCAGAAAAGGCAAGACAATGGCTTTTCCCCTAAGGCCTCCAGAAGGAGCGTGGCCCTGCTGACCCATTTGGACGCCTAACCTAAAGAACTGTAAGACAAATGTGCGTCGTTTTAAGCCACTGTGTTCGTGGTGATTTGTTCCAGCAGCGGCAGGAAACTAACACAGGTGCTAAGAAATAAGCATTAATGAATAAATGAGAGGAAGACAGTCTGGATGGCTGGCCTTCCGGCTGGCTGCTCATCCCTTTGTTTCTTCACACAAGTCTCCTCCTCCAGGAAGCCTGCCCTGACCGCATTCTCACGAGAGGCGTTATTTAATGCCTCTCCCTCCTGATACTCCCCAGTTTACTGGCGGAGGGAATGATTCTCTCTTGTTCCTCACTGCAAGCCCTCCTCCAGGAAGCTCTCCCTGACCCCCAGGCTGGGTCACGTGCCCGCCTCCTGCCAGGCTACTCCATGCCAGCCTTGCACACTCTGGGCTGTCACTGTCTGGTGTGTCCCTCATTGGGCTGTCTCAGTCCTCACTGAGAGCTGAGCACAGGGCTGGCCACAGAGCAATGGCTGATAAATAAACGCATGAATGAACAAACGAAGAGTGGGCCCGGATCCGAAGGATCCGAGGGTCGGCTCCTGCGGCATTCTGATCGGTCAGCCTCTCTGGCCTCCCTAACTCCCTCCCGGCCCCTCAGATGCTGTCGTTCCCGGCACTCAGGGTCAGACCTGGCACTGCACTGGCAGCAGGATGCCCTACAAGAGTGGGCACCCCCGATGTCCCCGTCCCTTCCCTCATCCCCTCCTGGCCCGGCTCTGCTCAGCTCTCACCCCACCAGACTGCCCTCAGCAAGGCCACCAGCCCGCTGCCTCCAGGGGCCAGTCCCGTGGTCCTGAAAGCACTTTCCCCTGGCTGCTGGGGCACTCGACCCCCTGGATTTCCTCTGCCTTCTCGCTCCTGCCTCTAGCTGTGGCCTCCCTTCTCCTTCGTGCTTTGCCTGTGCTCACCCCCCGGGGAGTCCCGCGGCTGTAGCTCCCTGCTACGCGCAGAACCTTCCATGATGACGTATCCTTCCCAACTCTGTCCCTGAACCCCGACCTGTCCCCCAACCTGGACGTCTCCGCTGGGATGGGAACAGACACCTCACTCCGGATCTTCACCTCAACCTGCTCTTCCCGAAGTCTGTCCTGCCGTAGAAGGTAACAGAGCCTCCCACTGGTGGCCCCGCTTTCTGTCACACTCCACGTCTCATCCTTGGTCCTTCCGCTGGCTCTGCCTCTAAAACTCTTCTCGCCTCCCCCACGGCTTCCATGCCAGTTCCGGGCACCAGCATCTCTCGCTAGCGCCTCCAGCGGTATTCCTGCTTCTGCTCTTGCCCCCTGGAGGAATCTTGCCCCCATGGAGGGATCCCTGCGACAGCTCACCTCCCTCTTCTGTTTAAAACCCTCGTGGCTGCCGCCTCCCTCAGAGCAAGAGCCCTGGGCCATCTGCCCTCGTTATCTCTTTAACCTCATCTCCTCCTCTCCTCCTCCGGCCTTATTCCACCTGCGGGCTTTCTCACTATTCCAGGAAGGCCCCAGTCTGTTTCCACCTCAGGGCCTTTGCACCTGCCAATTCCCTGGGCTTGGAATGTTCCTCTCTCAGATAGCATCTCTTTCGTTTCTTCAACTCCTTCAGGTCTTGGCTCGAATGTCACCTCTTCAATGAAGACGTCCTGATCCAGTCATTGCAACCAGCACTGCAAGTCCAGTGCACACTCCGTAGCACTTTCATCCCCCACAGCTGCTTCTGCTTCTCTGTGCTCCGGGGCACCTGTCACCACCCTATATTCTGTCTTTACTATCGCTCTCCGAGGCCAGGGACCCGTCTGTCACACCCCCTGCGGTATCTCCAGTACCTAGAACAGCGCCTGGCACACGGCGGGCCCTCGCTAAACATTCGCTGAATTCTACAGGACAAGCAGCCTGGTCTCTCGAACAGGCTAACAGTATGGGAATGAAAAGCAGAGACTTCTCAATAAAAAGAGACCAAGGGGACACAGCAACCAAAGCAACGCAAGATCCTCGACTGGCTCTGAACAATCAATCAGCTTTGAAGATCTGGGGGAAATTTAAATATTGATTGGGTATTAGAGAGACATTTAGACAATACGATGAATTTTATCGGGTCTGATAGTGACATTGTGAAAACGGAAGGAAATGTCTTTATTTTCCAAGACACCTCCTGAAATATTTAGGGATGAAATTTCACAACCTCTGTAACTACATTTAAAACGCTACAGCAAAGATGGTCATTATACTATTCCTTCTACTTTTGTGTGTTTGAACATGTTTATAGTAAGCTGGCACCGGAAGAAAAAATTCTTTGGCCAAAAAAAAGGTAGAGTAAAAAAGGCAAAATAGTAATACTGATTACATCTGGGTAGGGGATGAATAAATCTTCAATCAACTTCCCTCTCATTGTACTAATCTGTGCTTTTGAAAATTCTCACAATGCAAAGTATCCCCCCAAAGGAAGGAAGGCAGCAAGCTACAAGCGTGTTGAGTGGATGAATGAACGTTGGAAGGAGAGAGGGTCTGAGGGGTTACCGCAGTCAGCGGTGGGGCGGGAGGCTGGAAAGGAGGCAGGGGCGTGTGGGGAGCACCGGGGCGGGGGTCCGTCACCTCCACAAAGTTGGTGTGTTTGGCGTCTCGGACAGTGACCACGGCGTGCACCTCCTCGATCAGCTTCTGTTTCTCATCGTCGTCAAACTGCATGTACCACTTAGCCAGGCGCGTCTTGCCCGCTCTGTTCTGGATGAGGATGAAGCGGATCTGGGGGGCAGGAAGAGGAGGAAGTGAGAGTGGGGGTGGGGCGGGGCAGTGCTACGCCCGACAGCCCCACCCATCGCCACCAGGGAGATGGGGGCCAAGCTCCTCTGCTGCCTGCCTCCTCCAGGGCCCAGCCAGGCCGGCCTGGACACTTGCATCTGCCCCAGGTCCCTCCGACACTCCTGCTGAGTGATTTTTCTTCCACTGATCAGCCAGCTCTACGCTCAGCTCCAGGACCCTGAGTCACAGGCTGAACACCTCGTCTGCCTGACACTGGACAAAAGACCCACCCCTCTGAGCCTCAGTTTCCCCAAGTTTCCTCAGAAGATCCACCTTATCAGGGTGTTTTGCAGGTTAAATTTTATACAATCGGCTCGGTGGCTGGTGCGTAGCAGGCACTCAAAAACTCAGTTTCAGACTTCTCTGGTCTGAGTCTTGGCAATGCTCACTTCTTTTTTCTCTTTTTACCACTTTAAAAAAAATTGAGATATAATTCCCATACCATAAAGTTCACCCAAAATGTATACAGTTCAATGGTCTTTAGTATATTCATACAATTGTGTAAAAATCACCAATTCCAGGACATTTGCATCACCCCTAAAAGAAGCCCCCCCCCCACACACACTCATTAGCAGTCACTTTCCCTCTACCCAGGCTCCGGCTACCACTCATCTTTCTGTCTCTATGTATTTGCTTGTTCTGGACATTTCATATAAGTGGCATCAGATAAAAAGTGGCCCTTTGCGTCTGGCTTCTTTCACTCAGAAGTAATGTTTTCCAGGTTCACGCATGTTATATATATCAGGACTTCATTTCTTTTAATGCCTGAATAATATGGATAGACCTCGTTTTGTTTATCCTTTCATCAGCTGATGGACATTTGGGTTGTTTCCACTTTTTGGTGACAGTGATGATACTGCTAAGATCATTTGTGTACCAGTTTTTACAGAGACATACATTTTCATTTCCTTTAGGAGAGGAATTGCTGGGTTATTGCTGCAACTCTAGGAGTAACTTTTCCAGGAACGGTTAAACTGTTTTCCAAAGCACCTGCCACTTCTTAAGTGACTTGACTACTTGGTGCCTTAGTTTATCCACCTGGAAAATAGGGCCACATAAGGGTGTGATCAGGAGAGGTACCCATAACAATGCCTGGCTCAGATAATGTGCTCTGTGTCCGTGATTATCATCAGTGATGGCTAGGAAATTTGTCCTTACGGTTCTAAAACGCCAGGTCAGCCGTCGTAGGGTTACTATGAAAATGGAATGAATTAACGCCAGAAGTGCTTAGCACAGTACCTATTACATACTCAGCACTCAATAAAATTAGCTATCATTGTGACTGAGGGGTTTTGCCCAAGTGGCTAAGAACACAAACTATAGAGTCCAAATGAATCCTGACACTGCTTACTGTGTGCCTATGGGCAAGTCATTTAACCTCTCTGGACCTCTATTTCCTCTTCTGTATAATGGACATAATGAGAGTCCCTCCCTCATAAGCTGTTGCACAGGTTAATAAACATAAGGGCTATACAGTACAATGGCAGCACAAACTAAATGATATATAAGTATCAGTTCTTAGTTGTATTATAATACATCATCATTTGACTTTGAGAAAAACATGACCACCCAAGCTCACTTAGCTAGGAAACCTGCCTTTGGCTCCAGTTCTGTTTGAGACAGGCATGCTTATGCCCATTTTATAGACGAAGAAACCGAGGCTCAGAGAAGGAAGTTTCACAGCCAGCAAGCAGAGCTAGGAGTCTAATGGCTTTGCTGTGAACTCCCTTTGTGGGAGCCTCCACCCCTTCATGAGAGTCTACCGTCTTTCCTAAGCCTCATTTACCGCCCTCCCCCCAACCAATCAAGCTGGCGGAGAACAGGATATTACACTCTCCTTCCAAGAACCCCTTCTGCTGAGCCAGGGAAAACCACTTCCTAGCAGGGCAGGGGTCCTGAGCAGGAAGGGAAAGGGCACGGGTAGGGGTGAGGAGGCTCCCGCCAGGCAGCCAGAGCCTGGGGGCAGAGCCAGAGATATAAGGCTTACAGGAAGGAAAGCTAGAGGCAAACCTACAGAGTTGAGGGAAACCCAACCCCTTTTATTTCTTTTCCTAGTTCCCTGACCAAAGAGTCCTTTCCTATAGTTCAAAGGCCCGTCTGGAGAGAGGGCTGCCAAATCTAACACTGCCAAACCCAGTCCTCGCTCCAAAAGCCCCATCCCCACCTCTCACACTTCCATGCCTACTCCCTACCCCCAACACACCTCCTCTTGGAAAGACCCGTACCATGATAACCCTTTCCCTTCTAGTATCCACTCCCTACCTCCAAGCCGTCTTCCTCTTTGAGGCACTTTACCCGACTCTAAAGGTCCATTCCCTACAGCTATGTTTCCCGTCTGCACTGCCCAGTCTCTTCCCCGGAAGGTTATCTTTTCACTAGCAGTATCCCGCCCCCGGTTTCGACACTCCCCTCCGCCTGCAGTGCCAGCTTCCTGCCTCTAGAGACCCCTTCTCGTCTATCCCGAGGCCTCGCACTCTTCTCCCACGCTCCTGCCACACTCCCAGAAGACCCTCCTCTTGGGACGACCCTCCCCACCTCCAATTTCTTCTTCTCACCTCCGAGCCTCCGCCTCTCCAGATGCCTCCCTGGTTCAAACCCCTCCCCGATCATCTCCAATGTCTCTCACCCGCACAGCCCTCTCTCCCCTCGGCACCTGGTCTCCAATGCCCCCCAGGCTCGAGACCCCCGGTGCACCCCGGCGCCCAGAACCACCGCTCAGTTCCTCCCTTCCCGGCCTTTGATCTGCCCCAGTCCCGAGAGCCCGCGCCCGGCCCAGACCATCGCACAGCGGCGGTGGGGGGTTGTCAATACCCAACCGAGCCTCCAGTATCCGCGCGTGGACCCACCCTCCTCCTGTCCCCAGCGTGAGCGCGCCCCCGTTACCATGGCGACCCCCGTCCGGACCCCAGCTGCCCCGGTACCGCGGCGACTGGGCGGCTCCGGCTCTGGAAGCAGTTGGGGGACCCAGGGCTAGAGCGAACTTCCGGCAGAAGAACCAGCGTGCCCTTTCGCGCACAGCCCGCTGGGAATTGTAGTCCCAAGAATGGGTTTGCTCGTCCCGGCGGCAAGCCGGGGAGTGACGGTCCTTTTTCCCAACGTGCCGCACGATTGTCCGTTTCCCACCACACGGTTCAGGATCCAAGGCATGCTGGGAGTTGCGAGTGCACTTCTTTGGAGGACTACAATTCCCGAAATGCTTAGCAGTCAGCTAGGTGGCCGTTGCATTCTGGAAAATGTAGGTCTAGTACCCTCCACACACGCACGGCCCCCACCCGCAATTCCAAGGCGTGAAGGGCATACTGGGAATAGTAGTTTTAAATAAGAAACTGCGCTGGGGGAGCTAGAAGTGTTAACTGTCAGTGCTCACGCTGTGCTTTGTCTAAAATACCTTGAGCGTTTCCCTGTGGAATATGGACAGTAGTAGAACATGAATTTGGGAGTCAGAAGTCACACCCCGTTATTTCAGCAATATCCTATTGGTAGGAGGGGCTGTGAATATCACCAGATAAGAATCGTTGCCGTCCATCCTGGAGGCTGACTACAATTGTTCATAGCAGAGGCACCTGGCCTAACTGAAGACTTAGGGACAGCCTCCCAGTAGGAGTGTTAGTTGAGCAGTGATCAGAAGATGAGTAGAAATTAACCAAGTAATGATTATATGGGAGTTGGGCAGAGTATCCCAGCAGGGGCACAGACTTGCCTCTGCCTCCAGAAATCTCACGGTCTAGGTGGTTTGGAGTCTGAGGTGACATTCCACAGATACAGACAGAAAGGACCAGTTCCAGCACTTTAGTATGGACCCTGGAAAAATTCTTTCCTTCGATATGTCATTACATCCTTCTTGTCATAGGGAAGAATTGGAAGGGGACAAAATATGCACTGATAGGGGAAAAGTAAATTAGTCCACGTGCAGTTACATAAAATATAGTTAAGATGAATGAGAGAGATCTCTTGCATTGACGTGGATGATCCCCAAGACATGTCATTGGAGAAACAAAGGGAGGCACACAGTGATATCTACACATTGTATCATTTGATTTTTCTTTTTATTTATCTCTCCAACTTTTTATTTAGAAAATGTTCATATCCACAAAAAAGTTGTAATAATAGCACAAAGAACTTCAATGTATTATCCACCTCATTCGCCGACTGTTGACATCTTGCTACAGTCCCTCTCTGTATGTATGTGTATATATGTTTGAACCATTTTTAAGTGAGTTGCAGACATCATGCCATTTCATCCCAAAACTTTTGTGCTTCAACATTCCTCTTAAGAACAAGGACATCTCCATAAACACAATAAAATGACATATTCAAGGAATTTAATATTAATGTATTATTATCTAATATGGGTGCATATTAAAATATCCCTGAGTATCTCAGTAATAATTTTCACAGATTTTTTTTGCTTCCAATCCAGGATCACAGGTTGCATTTAGTTGTCATGTTCCTTTAGCCTCACTGAATATGGAGCGGTTTCCTTGCCTTGTCAGTATTTAAAGATGTTGGCATTTTTGAAGAGTCCACGTTTCCTCATGATTAGATCCAGGTTTGACATTTTTTTTTTTCCTGCAGGAATATCACAAAAGTGATGCTGTGTCCTTCTCAGAGGATTCTATTGGGGGCATGTGTTATTTACTTGTCTCATACTTGGTGATGTTAAGTTTGACTAATGTCTGCCACATTTTTCTTTTTGAAAGTTATATGATTTGTATGATACCAAAAGCATAAGCAACGCAAGAAAAAATAAATTGAACTTCATCAAAATTAAAAACTTAAAAAAATTAAAAACTTGTACATCACAGGACACTGTCAAGAGAGTGAAAAGACAACTCATAAAGTGGGAGAAAATATTTGCAAAGCCCATATCTGAAAAGAGATTAATATCCAATGTTTATAAAGAAATACAACTCAACAACAAACAGCTCAATTCAAAAATGGGCAAAGAACTTAGACATTTCTCCAGAGAAAATATACAAATGGCCAATAAGCTCATGAAAAGATGCTCAACATCACAAGTCTTTACAGGTTGCAAATCAAAACCACATGAGATACCATTTCACAACCATTAGGATGGCAATTATCAGACATGCTCACACACACCAAACAGAAAATAACAAGCGTTGGCAAGGATGTGGAGAAATTGGAACCCTCGTACATTGCTAGTGGGAATGTAAGATGGTGTAGCCACTGTTGAAAACAGTTTGGTGTTTCCTCAAAAAAGTTAAACATAGAATTGATTCGGCAATTTTATTGTTAGGTATATAACCAAAAGAATTGAAAATAGGAACTCAAACAGATACTTGTATACGAATGTTCATAGCAGTGTTATTCACAATAGCCAAAAACCTCAATGTCCATCAATGAATAGGTAAATAGATGAATAGATAAATAAAATGTGGTATATACGTACAGTGGAATATTATTCAGCCTTAAAAAGGAATGAAGTTCTGATACATGACACGACATAGATGAACTTTGAAAACTTCAGGCTAAGTGAAATAAGCCAGACACAAAAGGACAAATGTTGTATGATTCCACTTACATGATGCACCTAGAACAGGTGAATTTATATAGAGAGAAAGTAGAATACACATTATCAGAGCCTGGGGCATGGGAGGAGGCAAAAAGGGGAGTATTTGTTTCATGGGTACAGAGTTTCAGTTTGGTAAAATTAAAAAGTTCTGAAAATATATAGTGGTAATGATTGAACAACATTCTGAATGGTACTTAGTGCCACTGAATTGGTCGTATCATTTCTTAATCTGGGTGCTAGTTATAGGCGTGTGTTCTTTGTGAATATTTATTGTAATGTACGCTTGTGATTTGTGCACTTCTCGGTATACATATTACATTTCAATTTGTAAAGTTTATAGAAATTGAAAGATTCATCGTTCGTTCTTCCATCGGATATTTAGTGCGTGCCCACTACTTGTCAAGCACTGGCCAGGCGCTGGGATAATGCAGGTAAGCAAAGCATCCCCGCCTCCCGTTCCTTCCTCCTGATTGGCTGCCCTTCTGGCCAATGGTGGAAGAGTTCACAGTTCTCGGCTGTCTCCGGTAGCATCAGCTAGCTGCAGCTTCCTCAGTTCGGTTTGTAGGCGGCGCTGTGAGCTCACCGACGCCTTGGTCTAGCGCAGACCTAGTCCCCACCCTCTGATTCTTTCTGAGAAATGGAGAGAAAATATGCTCCGGCACCTCCACCCTCTTTGCACAAGTCTTGTGGATTTTTCTGTCTGTGCACCTCCCCCGAGTGGGTCTGGATCCTCAGGCCACTAGTACCTATTCCAGCGCTCTGGTTGGTGTGACCGTCAGTTGCAGTCATTGGGCCCTATTGGGCAGTGCTTGGGAATTCTTGACAGTGGCCCATTCCAGCAGTCGGCACTACTTTAGGCTAATCGTTCACTCGTTTGTTTATCCTGGAGTGGAGGCTAGCTGGGTGCGCGGGGGCGGCTGCCTCCAGGGAAGCCTGCTTCCTGTGGTTGGCTTCCTTAGCTGACACCTACCCTATTGCACACTGGAAAGAAATGCAGAGCTGGGAAGGCTCTCTTTGATGGTCTCGTTCCTTCATTCAGGGAAATCCTGCTTAAGCCCCTGCCTTGTGCCTGGACCTGTTCAGTGACTGAGACAGTTCCAGGTCTGTCCTCACAGTCCAGTAGGAGCGAAAGACCTATCACTGGACAGAGACAACCCAGGGTGGTCAGGGCTTGAATTGAAGACTCAAAGGGGCTGTGGGAGCCTAGAGGGGGTGCCTGATCCAGCCTAGGGGATCAGGGAGGGCTTCCTGGAGGGGACACCTGAGCTAGCAGCTGAAAGAGGGGTAGGAGTTAGTCGTTGGACGAGGACTGTCTTTTTGGCTACCATGCCCCCAGTGCCTACCATTATCCTCTTTGTTTGGCGTTGGATTCTTTCATTTATTCATTAACAAGTATTTATAGTGGGCCACTTGCCAGACTGAGGAACTAGCCGGAATCCCTGCCTTCAAAGGGCTCACACATAAAATGGTGATACCAATACAGAACTTCAAACTCTGATGGAGTGCTATGAAGAAGCATGAAGATGTAATCTACCCAATTGTCTGGGTTTGAATCTCGGATCTGCATCTTCCTAGCGATGTCACCTCTGTCTTAGCTTAGAATAACTATAACCTACTCATAAGGTGATGTGGAGGATCGAGTGAGTTAACATGTTTAAAGTGCTTTAGAATGCTGCTTAACATAAAGTGCCCATTTTTATCAAAGAATGAGGGGTCAGCCCAAATCTGGGAGGCTATCGAGGAAGTGACTTCGATCTGGGACTTGAAGGAAAAAGCAGAGTCAATGGGCATCTAGGTCCAGAAGAGAGCTCAGTCGTCTCTCTTCTCCAGGTGCTATCAACTCACAAAGTTCCCCAAATTGGAAGGACCTGGAATACTGCATTAGCGTTATAAAGACATTGTAATTGGAAGTAGGGAAATCCGGTGTCCCCTCCCCACAGTCTTCCTGGTATTCCCTCAAGTGATCTCAAAATCACTTAGAAACCAGGGTTTGCAGTGGCTGCCTAAAGAAAATCTAGCCCACGCACTTGATTTGTTTGGCCCACAGTGCTTACTTAAAACAAACTTTTTAAAAAAGTCACTAACACCTAAAAATCAGATTTCATACATTAAAAGTGCTAATTTTTTAAAAAAGTCAATGGAAACGACCCTGATCAGTAATCAAAAAACCTTTATTTAATGAGATGTTTGAAAAGTTGAGCGCATCACCTCTTACAGAGCAAGGTATGATTCAGAGCTTTACAAATATAACTCATTTAATTCCCTATGAGGGAGGTAAGATTAATCTACTTTATAGATGAAGAGATTGGGGAAAGAAACGCAAAGCACAATAGGAACCCTAGCCTTTCTTCATGCATTCCATAAATACTGACTAGGCGCCCAGAACGCTCATCTTCCACGATCCGTACTTCCGGAGAGGTCCCAAAGGAACCTCTCCGCAGTTCAAAATAACTCAAGGGTTACAACGGCTAACTTGCCATCACTACTATTTCTCCTCCAGGGGCCCACGCTGACATTCGATTTGCAGTCATTTGCACCATGCTGATTGGGAGGCCAG